GGATTGGTCCGAGGACAGATCCTTGTGGAACTCCATGACTAACTTTGGCATGCATGGAGGACTCATCGTTAACATGTACAAACTGAAATCAATCTGATAAATAGGACTTAAACCAGCTTAGAGCGGTTCCTTTAATGCCAATGAAATGTTCCAGTCTCTGCAATAGGATCTGATGGTCAATGGTATCAAATGCAGCACTAAGATCTAATAAAACCAGTACAGAGACAAGTCCTTTATCTGATGCAGTAAGGAGGTCATTAGTAATTTTCACCAGTGCTGTCTCTGTGCTATGATGAGCTCTAAATCCTAACTGAAAATCCTCAAATAAACTATTGCTCTGTAGAAAGTCACACAGCTGTTTAGCAACTGCTTTCTCCAGAACCTTAGAGAGAAATGGAAGGTTAGATATAGGTCTATAGTTGGCTAAAACATCCGGATCAAGTTTGGGCTTTTTCAGAAGAGGTTTAATTACAGCATTTAAAGTACTGTGGTACATAGCCTGTTGATAAAGATAGACTGATCATATCTAGTATAGAAGTGCTGACTAAGGGTAAAACATCTTTAAGCAGCCTAGTCGGGATGGGGTCTAAGAGGCAGGTTGATGGTTTAGATGAAGAAATTATTGAAGTTAGTTGGTAAAGATTGAGGGAAGCAAAACAGTCTAAACATATCTGGTTCTACAGCTGTTTCTAAGGTTCCTGAGTTTAGAGATAAGTCGGTGCCAATTGAGGGCAGGTCTTGGTGAATTCTGTTTCTAATAGCTAGAATTTTATCATTAAAGAAGCTCATGAAGTCGTAACTACTGAGAGCTATGGGAATACTTGGCTCAATAGAGCTGTGACTCTCTGTCAGCCTGGCTACAGTGCTGTAAAGAAACCTGGGGTTGTTCCTATTTTCCTCTATTAATGACGAGTAGTACGCTGCTCTGGCATTATGGAGGGCCTTCCTATAAGTTTTAAGACTATCTTGCCAAATTAAACGAGAATTTTCCACTTTGGTGGAACGCCAATTCTTCTCAAGTTTCCTCAAAACAAGTCCTCCGTTACTTTGTGACTAGTCAATGAATTTAGAGCTGATGGAATCGCATCCTTAAATTTAGCTACAGCACTATCAGACAGACATATTGTATAGACGTTTTTGCCCAATGGCGTGTAGTTCAGCAATACCAACTCAAAAGTTATCAAACAGTGGTCAGATAAAGAGGGATTCTGTGGGAACACCACTAAATGTTCAATTTCAATACCATACACCAAAACAAGGTTGAGGGTGTGGTTAAAACAGTGAGTCGGTTCATGAACACTCTGAGAGAAGCCGATGGAATCTAACAAAGAGATAAACGCAGTACTGAAGCTGTCATTCTCAACATCCACATGAATATTAAAATCCCCTACAATAATAACTTAACGTTGACAAATACTCTGCAAATTCAGATAAGAATTCAGAGTACGGACCAGGTGCTCGGTACACTATAACAAAGAGAATTGGTTGCAGTGATTTCCTACTTGGGTGCGAAAGACCAAGAACAAGACTTTCAAATGAGTTATAGTTTAGTTTAGGTTTAGAGCTGATTAGTAGGCTAGAGTGGAAGATAGCTGCAACTCCACCTATTCGTTTGCACTATTGCTCTTGTGGTTTTAATTTTTATGAGGTTTTTATGCACAGCTCCTCTTCTGTTTACCTTTTTAAATAATTTCGATGGTCGGGGGACAGACACCGTCACTATAGGGTTTTCACTAAGTAACTCCTGAAATGGAGGAGCAGAGAAGTGTGTTAGACTGCGACTCTGCCTCCTGGTCTCAACTCTGGGTTGTCATGGATTTGGTCCACTAATAAACTTGGCCAGATTTCTAGAAATGAGAGCTGCTCCTTCCCAAGTGGGATGGATGCCGTCTCTCCGGATCAGACCAGGTCTTCCCCAGAAAGTCTGACAATGATCTACAAAGCCCACATCGTTTGCTGGACACCACCTCGACAACCAGCGGCGGAATGACGACATGCGGCTATACATGTCATCACTGGTCAGATTTGGCAGGGGTCCAGAGAAAACTACGGTGCCCGACATTGTTTTTGCATATGTACACACCGACTCAACATTCATCTTAGTGACCTCCGACTGGCGTAACCGGGAGTCATTACCGCCGACGTGAATAACAATCTTACTGTATGTACGTTTATCCTTAGCCAGCAGTTTCAAATAAGACTCAATGTCGCCCGCTCTGGCCCCAGGGATGCACTTAACTATGGCCGCTGGCTTCGCTAACTTCACGTTTCTCAAAATGGAGCTGCCAATGATCAGAGTTGGTTTCTCAGCGGGTGTGTCACTGAGTGGGGAAAATCTGTTAGAAACGTTAACAGGTTGATGATGCCCCGTGGACTTTGAATGCTTATGACTATTCCTCCTTCGGACAGTCACCCAGCCCCCCCCCCTTTCCTGGCTGCACAGGAGATGCCGGAGGACGGCTACCAGAGGCTAACTCAGGCCGTTCAGCACCGACTACCGGGGACTGGCTAGCTACAGTAGCTAAAGACTGATCTACCAAGGTGCGGAGCCGGACTTCGAAATCACTGAGCCTCGCCTCCATGTCTATAAATAAACTACACTTATTACACGTACCATTACCGCTAAAGGAGGCAGAGGAGTAACTGAACATCTGACACACCGAGCAGGAGAAAGTAGGAGAGAGAGAGAAAGAAGGAGAAGCCATCGCTAGCTGCTAAGCTAAAGTCACTAACGGCTAAGCTAAAGTACTGTAGCGTCAGCTACCAAAACTTTAGAACAAGTATGAGATTGAACAGCAGTCACTAAAAGATGGAAAGAACTGTGAGTGCTTAGGCAAAATTACTGTAAAGAATAAGTGTTTAGCGAACAGTTGGCTGCTGTAATCAAACAAATGTAACTGTTATTTAGCGAGAGCAGCACAACACGGTACCAACACACAAGCACCGGAAACGGAAATGAGTCGACACGCTTACCGCAATACGTCAGCCACTCTCTCACCTGCAGAGAGTCAGAGGAGGGTTACAGGTGTGGTCTGCACACCGACCGGTACCATGAAGAGGTGTGTTTACTGTGAGACCTGGCTCGGTTCGCTGCTCCCGCTCCAGATCATCACACTTCCTGTTTCATGGAAAGGAGCTCCTACTGCAAAGTCTGAAACAGGAAACACACGTCAGATTTGTCTTCTGCACTTTGTTCAGATGTTAAGATGTGTTTCTCAGCGTCCTCACCCTGGAAGCTGTCCTGGTTCAGGTCTCCGGCAGCAATCCAGAAATTTAGAGGTCTTCAAATGCACCGCAAAATGATATTTCTGAAGAAGATATTAGAGATGGTCTGACTGAGGGACTGGATCATCTACTGATGGAGGAATTTGTCCCGGGTCAGCCCGCTCTCTGGATAAAATATTTACCTACTTTATTCCTGCATCCAGTACAGTTCATCATGAAATGAGCCGTTAAAATACATTTTCCAAACTAGAAAGACAATCCAGCTTCCAGCTGAGTAACTAATGATCTAACGTCGCCCTGCAGACGAAAAGAATGCGACTGGACCAAACTCTCAGCTCTCCACTGGTATTGCGTCGTTCAAAGAACGTTTTGTTCATTTGACCTAACCTTGTACAGTATATGACTCAGGAGGAACGAGTAGTCTGAGGGATTTGTTCACTTTCACACGTGTGAATAGTCTTCGACTCATGGGCTTTGGCACAGGACACAGAACTGATTAATTCAGGACTCTCCACTGTGGGTCTCAGGGTTTGAGTCGTTCATTTGTCATGTGAAAGCTCGGCTAACCAATCGTTCACCGCTCACATGGGTCCTCAGTCTTTGGCTCAGGCTGAGTTACTGCCAGCGCCGGAGAATGAGAAGCAGGTCTGCTGTGATGTGCTGTAGTTTGAACACAGCCGCACCGTAACTTTAGTCCTGCTAGCGTTTACAGCCAACAGCTGATGAGGGTTGTTCTGGGTCCACTTCAGAGCCCTGACAGGGTTCTACCGGGAGCCGAATTACCTCAGAGGTCGACTCCTCTCCAAAACAAACAAACCCGGTCATTAAAACGTTAAAACACAGCCGCATAGCAGCGTTAGCGTTAGCCCTGTGGTGTGTTTACAGCTAACAGCCGATCCGGTAACGTAACTTCTCCTTTTTATTTATCAGCAGAGCCGTGCTGTTGTTTCACCGCTGCTCACTGGTGAACAACCTGCAGTGTTTGAGATTATTATTAAACTGGTTCAATTTTATTAAGCTTATTACTTCAATATATTCCCTGTAAATCTGATGTTAATATATAGATGGTACTCATGGATAGGCGTTAGGCTGCTGTATGAATGAGCACTTTAGAGATATAATGACAGTAATTATAATTATATATACAGTGGGTACGGAAAGTATTCAGACCCCTTTAAATTTTTCACTCTTTGTTTCATTGCAGCCATTTTCCAAAAATCAAAAAAGTTCATTTTATTTCTCAGTAATGTACACTCAGCACCCCATCTTGACAGAAAAAAACAGAAATGTAGAAATTTTTGCAAATTTATTAAAAAAGAAAAACTGAAATATCACATGGTCATAAGTATTCAGACCCTTTGCCGTGACACTCATATTTAACTCAGGTGCTGTCTATTTCTTCTGATCATCCTTGAGATGGTTCTACACCTTCATTTGAGTCCAGCTGTGTTTGATTATACTGATTGGACTTGATTAGGAAAGCCACACACCTGTCTATATAAGACCTTACAGCTCACAGTGCATGTCAGAGCAAATGAGAATCATGAGGTCAAAGGAACTGCCTGAAGAGCTCAGAGACAGAACCATGATAGAGAAAGATCAAGAGGTGAATTTGTGAATTATACTTTGTCAGTTAAATGAAACCAGGCAGCTTTCAGTGTTTGAGAACTGTGCTGTTTTTTAATCGCCCACTAGAGGGCTGCAACGCCACAATAACCAGCCTAGTTCAAATGAACCAAATGACACAAAAAAAAGATTAGTTCATTTTAATGAACGAGATTTGATGATTCAGTCCGAGTACCATCACTACTGAATACGCCCAATCTACTGCAAAGTCTCTGAGGGGCATGATAGTGACTTTGGGCTAAACTCCCACTAAACTTGTAGATTAATCTTTAAATTAAATTCTTTTATAATAATTAATATTATTCCTCTTCTCTCGCTGCTGGCTCCTTTTATGTGCAGCTGTACCTTTACATCTTAATCATATACACATAAAAGAAGCCCATAAAATACAGAATAGAGAATCAGCCTCCAACAAGAACACTGAAGATAATCAGTCCTCCCTGAACCAGTAACAGGAGCGGAGACGACCTTCAACCATGCCCACGTAAACCGGGGACCGAACAGAGAAGGACTTCAGCCTGAGGGTTTCTCCTGACAGGACCTGTGACGTCACCAGAACCTGTGCAGTCTTGCACAACATCACCACCCTGAGAGACCAGATCCAGAATGACGGGAAGACTCTGAGTCGGCTGACTCACCAACTGCGAGGAGGCTTCAGGGCCCATTTCAGTTTGTCCCCGTGTGACTCAGGGCCACTTCTTATTTGGCAGCTCAGCGTTGAAGTGAGTTATTAAAACACTGATTACAGTTCAAAGCTCGACCTTCCCCCGCTTCTTTAACTCCGACTGCAGCTTCTTGTAGTTTGACAGAATGTGTCAGCTGACTTGTGCAAAGTGACTTTCTTTATTCCTGGCTGACGTCACGTCCTGCAGAAGCTCTGTGGTTTCACATCATCCGTGGTCCAGAACCTCTCATGTGGTCCTTCGCTCACTTTTCCCCCAGAGCTGTGGACAGGCTGCAAAAAGCAGAACAGCACCGATCGCTGCCACGGCCATGAAGCCCCGCCCCCCTGCAGGTGGTAAAGCAAAAGAAGGATCTGCATAAGGTGCCCAGTGCTTTAACTAAACAAGACCTTCTCCATCATGGTCCAGGTGAGTCTTGAGCAGAGTGAGGATGATGATGATGCATCCATCCACACGCTTACGTCTTCTGCTACTTTTCCGCCATTCTGAAAGTCTGAAAACTGCTACTGACCCCGTTCTGGTTCAAATCTCAGGGGCGGCGTGTTGGTGCTGACAGGTGGAAACGATGATGCTCACGTTCGGCTTCCTGATTGGCTCTGATCAGTCAGTCAAAGCAGGAAGACGATGCTGCTGACAGAGTTTTATTAAAGTATTCTGCACTGTGTAAATAACACTTGTACACTTGTACTCTGCACGTCTCTGTATTGACTTTGTGGCGACTCCCAGTCTGTTTCCCGCCGCCACCATCTCTAAGGCTTCGTGTGACGGGTCTCTCCGGGCTGCCTGCCCCTGAAACAGCAGAATGGATCCAGCTGAGAGGCTCCACACTCTGAATCAGGCCATTTCAACACAACTTTAAACACTGACATTATCTAGCCTGCTGATAATTAATCTCTTATTTAAACATAAAACATCAGGTAGGCTGGTATTAGTTCTGCTTTTAGCCTGTCGGCATTTTCTGCACGTGCACGGTAGACATGACGTGCACAGGATTATTCAGGCCCATTTGATTTACTGCTGAAGACTGTTCAGCCGTCAGCTCAGCACCTTCTTCTGACTCACAACTGGATTCATAACAAAGGACGGCAGAAGAGATGAAGGAAGGCTTCATCTCGCTGCTATTTCTGGATTAATTGTGGTCTGTGAGTCAGAGTGAATCAAGCGTAAAGATGCAGGTCGAACCTGAGTCACTGTTTACAGTCTGAATGTGTCTGAAGGGAAAGTGAGAGTCAGACTCTTTAATCCAGAGAACCGGTTTCATTAGCTGTGGAGTTCATCAGATTATTATTTATTTGCTTAGTCCTATTTAGTCTTGAAGATATTTCACCTAAATTCCAAAAGGCTGCTGAAGTGTGAAGAATATATTAAATAAAACTGGTCACATTCAAGCTGTGGAGGTGAGTGTGGTGCAAATGGTAGATTTCAGACATTAATGAGTAAATGGATTCTAACAAACTGTCTTTTGGTTCATTTATTAAAGGAGAAAAAAAAGGAAGTAGGTTAGAGCGGTGTGTTTGAGCCTGTGGGGAAGCCCCTTGTTTCTCAGCAGCCAAAGACAAAATCAGTCAGGTGACCACACATTTTTGAAGAGTTAACCATTTCACTCTCCCTGTGGTGGAGAGAGGCCCGTGGAATAAGTGATGAGCACATTTAAGGTTAAAAAAACTGTTTTTTGCTGTTCAGAGTGATTTTGTGATGTTCAGCAGTCCTGATTCTTGTTTCTTAACATTTACCGACAGGTCTGAGAAGATCTTGTGCATGTGTTAGAGCTTTAGAAAGTCACAATCTGAGGCTCCACTTTTAGCACGACGTTAGCCTTAAACTGCTGGATGTTTGTTAAAATGGCAGGACGGGGTGATCTGAGCCAAAGACCTGGGGAAGATGAGCCAGACATTTTGATGTAATTTTACATCACTGAAATGATGTGACATTATGTATTTTAGAGCAGAAACCATCACGTCATGTTGCAATGTGAAATGAAGCATGTCTGTCTTCCATTTATAGACAGACAGGCTTCAACTCCTACTGTGGGTTTGGACAGAGCTGTGGGAGAGGGACAGAATGGGGAGTCCATTCATCAGGTGACGATCAACAGGATGACTTTAAAGTGAAACATATGAAACAGCTGCACTGTTTCACTATCTAAGTGCAATTAAATGTTGGGACCTGGAGTTTGAGTTTGCACGATGACACTGATGTCCCCATGTGGCTCATCTTACCCCTCATATGGGCCAAGTTGAGCCAAGACTCCACTTTTTTTTGGAAAGCCGTATTTTGAAATCAGTTTATTTTAGATCCAAACTGATTATTCCCATCCTAAAATATATGTTCATGTTTTAGTTGGAGACATTACTGTCAGACATCTACCACCAGTATCAGACCTCTGGCCCCGAGCAGAGGACAAACACAACATTTAAAGCAGGGAGACTCCTCCCTCATGTTGTGGCCTTCAAAACTGAAGTCCACTATGTTAGATTTAAGGATAATGTTTAAGATGTTTACTGATCAATGATAACTTTAAGGATAATGTTTAAGAAGTTTACTGATCAATGATAACTTTAAGGATAATGTTTAAGAAGTTTACTGATCAATGATAACTTTAAGGATAATGTTTAAGAAGTTTACTGATCAATGATAACTTTAAGGATAATGTTTAAGATATTTACTGATCAATGATAACTTTAAGGATAATGTTTAAGATATTTACTGATCAATGATAACTTTAAGGATAATGTTTAAGATGTTTACTGATCAATGATAACTTTAAGGATAATGTTTAAGATGTTTACTGATCAATGATAACTTTAAGGATAATGTTTAAGATATTTACTGATCAATGATAACTTTAAGGATAATGTTTAAGATATTTACTGATCAATGACGCCTTTAAGGATAATGTTTAAGATGTTTACTGATCAATGACGCCTTTAAGGATAATGTGTAAGATGTTTACTGATCAATGACGCCTTTAAGGATAATGTGTAAGATGTTTACTGATCAATGACGCCTTTAAGGATAATGTGTAAGATGTTTACTGATCAATGACGCCTTTAAGGATAATGTGTAAGATGTTTACAGATCAATGACGCCTTTAAGGATAATGTTTAAGATGTTTACTGATCAATGACGCCTTTAAGGATAATGTGTAAGATGTTTACTGATCAATGACGCCTTTAAGGATAATGTTTAAGATGTTTACAGATCAATGACGCCTTTAAGGATAATGTTTAAGATGTTTACAGATCAATGACGCCTTTAAGGATAATGTTTAAGATGTTTACAGATCAATGACGCCTTTAAGGATAATGTTTAAGATGTTTACTGATCAATGACGCCTTTAAGGATAATGTGTAAGATGTTTACTGATCAATTAACCCTTTAAGGATAATGTTTAAGATGTTTACAGATCAATGACGCCTTTAAGGATAATGTTTAAGATGTTTACAGATCAATGACGCCTTTAAGGATAATGTTTAAGATGTTTACAGATCAATGATAACTTTAAGGATCATGTTTAAGATATTTACTGATCAATGATAACTTTAAGGATCATGTTTAAGATGTTTACTGATCAATGATAACTTTAAGGATCATGTTTAAGATGTTTACTGATCAATGATAACTTTAAGGATAATGTTTAAGATATTTACTGATCAATGACGCCTTTAAGGATAATGTTTAAGATGTTTACTGATCAATGACGCCTTTAAGGATAATGTGTAAGATATTTACTGATCAATGACGCCTTTAAGGATAATGTTTAAGATGTTTACTGATCAATGACGCCTTTAAGGATAATGTTTAAGATGTTTACTGATCAATGACGCCTTTAAGGATAATGTTTAAGATATTTACTGATCAATGACGCCTTTAAGGATAATGTTTAAGATGTTTACTGGTCAATGATAACTTTAAGGATAATGTTTAAGAAGTTTACTGATCAATGACGCCTTTAAGGATAATGTTTAAAATTGTTACTGATCAATGACGCCTTTAAGGATAATGTTTAAAATTGTTACTGATCAATGACGCCTTTAAGGATAATGTTTAAGAAGTTTACTGATCAATGACGCCTTTAAGGATAATGTTTAAGATGTTTACTGATCAATGACGCCTTTAAGGATAATGTTTAAGAAGTTTACTGATCAATGACGCCTTTAAGGATAATGTTTAAGATGTTTACTGATCAATGACGCCTTTAAGGATAATGTTTAAGAAGTTTAACTTTAAGGACACTTTAGGTGCAGTCTCCTTGCTCAGCCTTTCATTGATGCTATCAGGCTGCGGCCTTCACATTTTTGCAAGAACACAAACAAATGTGACCTTGCTGCATTCTAACATAATGCTGAAAGCACCTGGGCTGCGGCTCGATAAGAGTAAAGACTAGATTTATAAACATAGGAGGCCCGGGTAAGAAGAGTGCAGCTCTGAAGGTCGTCATGTGACTCCGCACACAAACTTGGAGTGTCTGTGTTAATGTTAACCAACAGCGTGATGGTCGTGTGCGTGTTGTAGAGTAGAATACACTGGTGTTTGAACATATATTATGTGTGGAGGTGCAGGTGGGTCTGACCATGAGACAGGACATCTCAATGTAAACAGAGTTTGATGGGTTCTGCTTCTGGGACCAGTTCAGATGTATTTTAGCTAAACTCGAGTTCATTTGAACTTTACTGGAATCTGTGTCTCATTAGTTTACCCTGGCTGAGGTAGCAGGTACATGAAGGAGTGAGGGCCCAGTGGGTCTGAGGGATTCTCCTCCCACAGATGAACAGGTCCTGAGTCAGTTCTGTAAAACGTCTGTAAAGTCTGACTGTTCACTGTCACCTGCTGCACTATACATAGGATGCTGCAGCGATGACTCACTGCGAAGGTATTCACCTGCAGACAGGTAAACACAGGAGCTCACTGCTCAGCTGAGTCAGCACGTTACGTTGTGTGTGTTACAGTAATCTGAACCATCAGAGCTTTTTTGATGCTTTAATTTAAAGAAACACAGAAACAGTTACAGTAAAAAAGAAAATATAAATATAAACATTGTATCACAATATAAATATGGCCTTCATAAATTAATAAATAGATAAATAGGTCAATAAATAAATAGATTTTGTTATTAATTGCAGCAGTGGTCGTACTCCTCAGTGGGCGTGGTCTCTGACATCAAGGGGCTTATCTGGAGGTGAAGCAAGTCTTGTGTTTCTGCAGGGCGATCTTTAGGACCTCGAGTAGATCTCTCCTCAGAGCCATCCAACCACAGGCAGCGCTTTCCTGAGTGACACACAGAAAGACCCGCCCCCTTAGCTCTCATTGGTCCACACAGATCTGATACCTCAACCTAAACATGTGATTGGTGGAACTGACTCTGCCTGGCAGAATATTCCACCGTCTGCACAGATTTATTCATTAATTATTATTTATTATTAATCATTCATTATTATTTTGTTGTTATTTGTTATTATTATTATGTATTAGTTATTTATTATTATTTATGATTAGTTTATAAATGATTTATAATTCATTTAGTCCACTCTTACTGCATTTTACTTTCAGCTTCTTACCTGCTGCTGCAGAACTGCGGTCACGTTGCCGAAGTACGAAGATAAATCTGCTGAGCCATCGACACTGGACAACTGGAGAGAGAGGGGAATAATCAGGTGTTGGGCCAGACTCCTTTGTACATCTCACCAATTATCACTCACAGAAACAACCATGACAGTGTCCTCCAAAACCAAGAGGACACCAATAAAGAAGGTGTGGGTAGTGTGGCGAGTGATATGAACCTCATCCTTTATGAGGCAGCTGTTGATGCTGACAGGGGGAAAAAATAATAATAAAACCCCCAAAGAAATAGAAACAAAAAGAGAAATGTTTTGACCTGAAGTGCAGAACCATCAGAAAGGAACTTGGAACGGTCAAGTCAACCTGAAGACCCAGGTTTGATCTGAGATGGTGTGAAGCCCTCAAACTATACAAACACTACACCTACTAAACACTAGAAGATATTTAAACTCCACTGACCAAAATGACTTCTGGGATATGTGGAATAAATAAAGCACAAGCAAACCACATGCATTCAAGATGTTTTGTAGATCTTTCTGAAGACGTGCCACCGAAAGAAACAAATTCAAATCACAATCTGATCAGAGAAAAACTCAACCCAAACCTGAAACCCCTGTTTAAGACAACTAAAACCCACTGGATTTTCCAATCTCACATGAAAAATTTATCTGGAAAATCAAACCTCTAAAAACATACAAAGCATGAGGCGCTGACAGCATTTCAAATGAAATGATTAAAAACTGCAGAGCTCAAATGATTTAACACCGTTTTAATGTCTCCCGTCCGTCAGAGTGGAGAGAAATGTGACCCCAACATCCACAGAGGGATC